TCCCCCTCACCTCGCATCCCCTCCCCTCCCTAGCAGGATTTGCTCTGTGGATTTTGTTTTCCTTTTTTGCTGCAGTGACTTAAAAGTCCACCGTTTGCTGCTGCTGCTGTGCCTGAAAGGGAAGGACTGGGCTGCAAAATAAAAGGGCTCTTGTCCTCCTGCCTGTCTGGGAACAAAGTTCATTGCTGCTACACCTGTGTGTGTGTGTGTGTGTGTGTGTGTGAGAGAGAGAGAGAGAGAGAGAGAGAGAGGAAGAAGAGAGAGAGTGTGTGTGAGTGAGGGAGAGAGGAGAGAGAGTGTGTATCTATCTGTTTGAGAGAGAGACTGTGTGTGAGAGAGAGAGAGGGAGGTAGAGAGAGGAGTGTGTGTGTGTGTGTGTATGTGTGTGAGAGAGAGTGTGTGTCAGAGAGAGTGTGTGTGAGAGAGTGTGCATGTGTGAGTGAGGGAGAGAAACAGAGGAGAGTGTGTGTGTGTGTGAGAGAGAGAGAGAGGGTGAATGAGGGAGGTAGAAAGAGAGAGAGGGCCAGGGAGAGGGTGTCAGAGAGAGTGTGTGTAAATGTGCATGTGTGAGTGAGGGAGAGAAAGAGAGAGAGGACAGTGTGTGTGTGTGGGGGAGAGAGAGAGAGAGAGAGAGAGTGTGTGTGTGTGTGTGTGTGTGTGTAAGAGGGCGAGGGAGAGGAGGCGCTGCCCCCTCCGCCCGTGCTGCTCTCTCCAGTGTCTGCTCCCGCACTCGCTGTCTCTCGGGCTCCAGAGGCGTGCACTCAGCGGTGTGGACTGGAGAGACCCGGCGGAGGCAGTGTGCGCGCGCGCGCGCGTGTGTGTGCGCGCGTGCCTGCGCGCGTGTGCGCCTCTGCCTGTGTCGCTGCGGGGCGGGGGAGCGGGGAGATAGCGCATGTCTCATCTCTCGGTGCAGCCACTAGACGCTCCCACCACCGCCAAACTCTCCACCATCTTTTGCATGTGCAACATTTGCAGCCGGACAGAAACCTCTCCCAGGGCTATGGAGACTGCGGGAAAAGCCCGGCGCGGCAGGATGGATTGCTAAAACACCGCTCGCACCTCCACTGAGAAAAAAGGAAAGAAAAGAGGGAGGGAAAAAAGAAGAAAGGAGAGAGCATCTCTCTTCTACCCCTCCCCTCTTCGGTTTGGGGTTTTTTTTTATTATTATTCTTAATTTTGTTTGTAGCCACCTCGCCCTCAATGCCTCTCTGAGCAGCACCTAACGGGAGAGAGAGAAAGAGAGAGAGAGAGAGAGACAGGGAGGCAAAAGAGAAGAAGATGAGGATTATTTGCAGACAGCTTGTCTTGTTGTTTTCTGGCTTTTGGGGACTAGCAATGGGAGCTTTTCCTAGCAGTGTGCAAATAGGTAAGAGCTGCATTGAGCTGTGTGTGCATGTGGCAGGCGCGACCAGCCTTGGCCAAGTGAGTTAGGAGCGAGGGGCTGAATGAAGCGGGCTGCACGGCCACCCCGGTCCGTCCCGTGTGTGTGTGAGTGTGTGTGTGTCTCTACTGGGAGGGGGGTCTGCAGGGCTGCCTGGCATCACACTGGTCTTCAGGACGGGGGTTGCGGTACAAGTTGGGACAATGCCCCCTGTACCGCATCCCTGTGCCCCCTCCTCTCTCCTGGAGGTGGTGATGGCGGTGGAGGGGGGAGATGTTTAAAATCCAGTGTCTTGGGCACCGGTCACTGCAGTAGTTGCTCTGCCCCGGGGCTGCAGGAGGGGATGCTGCTGCCTTCCTTCTTGCCTTCTTTCCTAGTTGGAAAGTTTGGGATTCCCTGGGTTCCCCACCCCCTTGGGCATCTCCCCCCTCCTGCCATTCCCTGGGGATCTGCCTTATTGCTTTCCCCCTGCTTTGGGATGGGACGCAGTTATTTGAGTGCCTTCCAGCTCCGCTCAGCTCCATCACTGCATCATTTCTCGTGCAATTGTAAAGATGCTGCTAATCAGGCTGAGCTGCTGCCTGCCCGCACATGGGCTGCAGGGAAGCAGGCAAAGTTCGGGAGGCGGCTGCTGCTAGCTGGAAGGTGGGGGGGGGGGGGGGGTTCCTGGACCCCGAGCAGCACCAGTGGGCCACCTCACCTGGGGGGAGCTGCTCAGGACCTGATGTCTTCTTCAGGACCAAGGAGAGGGGGCTTCAGCCGTTCCAAAGGTCACTGTAATCAGAAGGCATCTAGGTATCCATAAGGGGAAGTGAGGAGCGTGACTGCCTCTGGGGGCTTGACTTCTATTACCAGCTGTGTTTGTGGGTACCATCAGTCCTGCAGCCCTTGAGGACCACTCACCCAGCAGCTTGGGGCCAGGGAGTTGGTTGGCTGGGCACAGGGTAGCGATCAGCTTGGCAATAACCCTGTCTCCTTCCTCTTGCTGCTCTTGTAGGGGGTCTCTTCATCCGAAACACAGATCAGGAATATACCGCATTTCGCTTGGCAATTTTTCTCCATAACACCAGCCCCAATGCGTCTGAAGCACCCTTCAATTTGGTTCCTCATGTTGACAACATTGAAACTGCCAACAGCTTTGCTGTCACAAATGCCTGTAAGTAAGACATGCCATTGATCTCCCCGAGTTAGGAGTGCATGGCAGCCAAGTTGAGACAGGGGTCCATAATGACCTGGCACTACAAGGAAAAAAATAATACTCCTCCATGCAGCAGAGGACCACTCCCCATAACACTCCCCACAATGACCGCTGTGCCCTGTGTGAAAGAGCTGAATGGGCAGCTCCTTCAGTTTGTAACCTTAGCAAAATCCCCTTGCCTGCCTTGTGCTGACTAACCCAATGTGACATTTCCTTTACTGTTCTCACTGTAGTTTCTTGCTTTCTGGTTTCTATGGAGATGAATTTTGTGGTTATAAAGGGGGGGAAAAAGAAAGACATCAGGCAGTGACCCCCACAGTCTCTCTCATTTGGCTTTGGGCACCGCCGTGTCGCCTGTATCTGAAAATATATCGTAATAGCTGTGATCATCAGAGTTCTGTCTAATGGCAAGGAAGGAGATGGAAGCAGGGGTGGGCAGGATAATATATCTGAGTAGGTTGACGCTGCAGTTGATCTGGTGATGTCACTTGAGGCTGCCCTGCTCTTATATTCTGGGTTGTAAATGTCTCTTACTATCTCACAGTGCATACATTCTGTGGATATGTCTCCATGCATCCATACATTGGTGCCAAATCAAGTTAGGATCCGATCTACTTGATTTCACAAACCACCCCAACTGGAACTCCAACAGTCCGCCTCCAATTTGCACACAGACAGAAATACACTTATTGAGAAAAGGATAGCTTTACCAAATGGGAGGGTGACTGACTGAACTTCCAAATTCACATCACCCCAGCATCCTTCAGCACAGTGTAGAATGCATGCTTAAAGCTGCTAACATCTGAGAAAGGAAAATCATTATTTATATTTCTGTTCACTTCTCTCAGGTTTCAGCAAAGGTATTTATTTTGTAGTGTAGGGCAATGTGATCAAGTACGACAGAGCTAAATGTTGCAATTAAATCACTGCCACTTTCATATTCTTCTTTCAAGGTTCAAATTCTGTAGCTTTTTCTCAATGACCTTTAAGTTTTATAATCCTTTCTTCATTTAAGAATGAATTGCCTTGAAACTGGGAACATAGAATAGCAATGCACATAGAGTTTAAAATAGAAAGAGACTGGACAAGGTTTTTCTGTTCAGTATGCCTTTAAAATATATACTGTATTTCTCTAGTTTTCTGCATCCTCATGTCCCTCTATTCCTCTCTTTGACACTTGTAGTATATTTTTATTTTATGTATGGTGTGTTTAGCTTCTTAAAACCTATTGGATGATTGTCAAATGTATTTACATAATTCTTTGATACTTCAGGTTTCTGATGACCTTGTCATCTTATTTAGCAGGAAAACCTTCCATGTTGCCAAAATAATACCAGTGCATTATATGCAGGAAAGATTTATGTCTCATGAGTGTGAATTTTATATTAAGTAATGTATTATATATGTTTAGTACTAAAATCAATACCAAATTAACTAAAGAGAAGGCATTTTAACAGATGCTTTTTAAAATAGGAGGACATAGATCTACATAGGTGAATTTCAAAGAAATACTACAGCCTACGTGATTTTTGGCAGATACTTTTTATATATTTCATGCATTTTAAAAGCTTATTGATGGAGTTAAAAGCTCTGTACATTAAATTAAATAATTATAGGTAAACCAGTTGTCTGACAATCTGTTTTTTAAATCCAGTCCTTCTAAATTATTTTAGAATCTGTCATTAAACTTTGGGCCAAGATCTTGCTTTGCACCAAGTGTGGTGATTATAACAATAGTGCATTTGCAAACAGTTTTGATTTGTGTACCTTTAAAATTATTATCTAAACCCAAACTATTATCTAAGCCCAAAACATATATGAAGTTACAGTTTTTCAGGTGCAAGAAAGCCTATGTATGCCAAAACTTCCTCTCATTTAAACGATTATCAATTGATTCTTTTTCTTTCCTTCCAAACCCCGTTCCATTGGTTAAATTGAGTTTGTAGTATTTCAGCTGATGAAAATATGTTTCCTTATAGTGTCTGTCATTTATGCAAGTAATGATTTGTATCTTGCTCCAAAATTTAAATAAAATATATATATATACTGTGACCAGTCCTGCAGTTCTGAACAATTTAGTGATTCATAGGTGACAAATGTAGACAGTATATAGAACTGAAGAAAAAAGTGTGTGTATAATTCTGTATATATCTGTATGCAGTTAGGTACCCACAAACCTGCAGATGTTACTCAAGCAAATCTCCCACTTTAATATGCATTTTTTATCTAAACATTATTGGTTGTTTAAATATTATATGTGTATGCCATATTTTACAGATCTGTGCGCCAATAAGCATATATCTATTCCTTGCATATATCTGTGTTCCTTGCATATATCTATTCTAAAATATTTAAATATAGGAGAAAAGTTCTAATGAAGCATAAGCAAACTGACCGACAAATGAAGGAATACATCACATGTCCCTTAAGTTAAATATGAGCAGAACCCTGCAAAAATCAATTGTCTGATAGCTGGAGGACACTGCTTCCATGTGACTGAATTTGCTGGCTTCCAAAGCACAGATGTGTGAGATTTGTTAACCTAATTAAAGATAGAAAGTCTGTATTAAGTAATATCATGGCAATATTTCCTACATATGAAATAATGAGTCTCTACCAAACCAGTGTTGAAATAGTGGCTTTGGATTTTATCGCTGTATAGAGTTTACTTAGAGAACACGTGCCCCCAAATGATATAGTACAATAGCCTTAGAGCCACTGGACTGAAATGAATATTCATATGAGGTCAAGCGTAAAGATCTAAGATGTGACCAGTTAGCTTTATTCCCATTTCCATTTCACTGCAGAGGTTATTTTATAAAGCTGCAATGTCTGGCCCATTCCATGTATTAGGGACAATAATCAAGATGTTTAAAAGGTACAAGGCATTTTTTTAGTGGATGATGGATATCATGGAAAAAAATACACACACACACACACACACACACACACATATGTTTTTTTTTTTTAAGAGACTAAAACAGTATATTGGTTGCTTTTTGTGTGTGTTTGTCAAGGAATACTTTTCACATTTCAGTCATTTTATGGGTTTAATTGTATGTTCACAGTGATTATATCTGTTTCTTTTGCCTTTTAATAGGTCCAGATCCTTGCATTTCCCCCCTTTTAGATCATATATTCCTAAGAAACAGGTCATTTTAGGAGCTGGATTTTGTATTGTAGTTCAGTAAAATTCACCTGATTGTTATCAGCTTTGGTTCAGCCCCTATTTTTGACTTTTATTTAAATTCTGTTCATTTCTTTTGTGCTCCATACATTATTCAGAGAATCTCTCTTACTGACAGAGCTGAAATTATTGTGAAACATGAACAGCACAAGGGTTTTACTTGTCAGAACATAATACACTAAAGTCGTAACAGCCAACTAATGTCAGATATTAGTTGGCACATTACATGTCGAATTTTTTGCTTGTGATTAAAGATCCAACTTCAAGCTGATTTCAAATGTAAGACCTGTGCATTGGATTACAAGTAATTGTTCCTTTGGATGAGGTGACTTTTTTCATTTGTGTCCAGTGCTCTATATTGTATTAATGCACTTGAACAGTATTGTCAGTATACACTAACTGTATTTTAAAGGTATATGCATTCTTTTGAGAAACGTTGAAGTTAGACAGTTGTTAAAAAGAGCAATTTGTCCTTCAGCTCCTTTGTTGGGAATTTGATATTCTTCAGTTACAAATCAAAACACTCTGTGAATAACTAATCTGATAGAGAACTTTTGTTAAATTAGGGAAGGGTGATACTGAATGTGTATAGTTAAAAAAAAAATCAAAGTAAAATCTTTCCTTAGAGCCTCAGTTTTTTCCCACATACACTCTTAGATTAAAGCGCTACTACTAAATCCAATATTTGTCAAATCATCCCCCTTTCCCCCCCTCCACCAGCTACCCATCCAATTCACCTGTTAACCCAGATTTTAGTCTCAAGTGGACAATATTTAACAAAAAGATAAGTTTCTTATTAAATATCACAAGGGCAAGCACACATGACCAAATAACCCTATAGGAAATTCCACATTTAACTAAATTTCCTGTTTCTCCAGGATGTAGTGTCTTTAATATATTTTTTTACAAGTTCTTATTTTTTTGGAGTGTAGAATTCTTGAATGATGCAGGATTGGTGATCCTAGAAAACTGGAGAGGTCTTGATTCTGTCTTTTGTATATGAACAGAAGTTCAGCTCTGATTTCACTGAGTGAAGGACCAGGTCCATACATAACAGGAAGACATAGTGTATATATTCCCTGGTTCATCCTGCTCTGTCAGTGTATTTAGCTCTGACCTTGCTGTTCTTGAGGTAGGATGTAGTGTTCTTGCCTTTTCCAGTATCAGTTTTTCTGCTAAGACTCCCAAAGCGACTACCAGTTAAACTCAACTGTCTTAGTGTTTTTAAGTTATGGGTATGTGTCATTTTATGCTGGCTTTCAAGGAGTCCTATGATGGTATCAGCCTATTAATGAGATTTTCATTGAGTTTGCGTAATACTTCAGTTTAAATAAGTTTCTATTTCAGCAATAAAAATATTACCTTGGTTTAATAATGTGCTTTGTTTAGAAAAAAAACCCAAAGCAAAACATGGTAACATTCTTTATTTTGGAATCAAAATTGCCTGGGACTAAAAGGTAAATTATTTTTCCATCAAGAGAAGTGCAAATTGAAGGGTGAGGTTTGGGTGTGCTGAGATTCCTTTGTGAAGTGTACAGTTGAGGCAAGCTGAAACTCCAGTGGCAAATGTTATGTCAGATATATAACCTGAATCCCTCCCTCCCGTCCCTGATTTTTTCTGTTTTGCTTTTCAGAGGGATTTGGTTTATTCCAACATTGAAAACATCTTGTGTTATAAATAATCTTTACTGTGCATTCAGCTCTAGCTACTGAAACTGATGTCTTCTTAGTTAATACTTAATGTGGAACTAACACATTGTTGCCATTGACT